CTCATTATATCTAGAAAGTGGTAAAGAAATGCGATAAAGTGCGGGAAAATGTAAAAGTAGTAGCGGCGACTACCAAAAGCAAGCGGATCGTCAAAAGCGGACGAAAGCAATGGCGAAGCACGGAGTACGCGTCGAGCAAGCTTCACCAAGAAACAAACAAAGTCAGAAACGATATCCAACTAAGATAAAAACACATGCGTGTTGCGAATGTAACTCGTAATCAGAAGTTCCTGCATAAAGTATCACAAAATATCACATGCATCCGGATAATATATAATATAATATGAATTTCTCATGAAAATGATAAATAAGGCGTGTGATCCGCTGTCGCACACGGATCAAAAACGAGTATTTTGTAAAATGCAGTATAGCGACAATGGCTCGAGTCATATCACAAGGATTCTTGATTTTATTATTAACTAATATAAATCGAATGGGGGGTTGGTTTTAGGATCGATTCATAACATAAAATAAGTGATTATAAAAATAAGTTGATCTACTGTTTTCAGGTTCCTGCTAATCATTGGTTTTTAACTTACCAATTCCCTAAGCGGCTTCGACCTCTATTCGATTTCAATACCAATTGACAAGCACAATAGATATAAAATAGATTGAATTCCCATTCTGAATTAAGCAAACGGATTAATACAATCGTGAATTAAGCAAACACGATATAAAACGCGATTTAACGACTAAGCGACGTAAACAACGATTAAAGATTAGGAATACAATCATATGAATTTAATCAAGACATTCCATGAAATAACAGATTAAGCAAATGCAATTTCATAAAATAGAATTGAAAGAGAAACAAAATTGAATTGATAAGTTAAAAACCTCAAAGCATCGGAACACGATTACAGTAGATCAACTCTGGATGATTAGTTCTTCATTCAAGCGTAAAAGAAAAATGTATTTTTTTTTCAATCATGAAAAGGTAGCCACGAAATTATTGTAGCGGCTGCTAGGTATAGCAAGGATAAGGATTCGGTTCATAACCCAACTGGGTTGAAAACATAACCCAGGCCCAAAACAAATGACCCAAAACTTAAATATAAAATGTTGCAACTTCAACGAATTTAATGGCCCTGCTATAGTCCGATTCAGCTCTTGACTTCTGAATAAAAATCGTAGCTCTTTCTCTTAGCTTTCCAACGACTAGTAGCACTCCTCGTTCCGACTCCCGTAGCTCAAGTTATAAATTTATTCGAGCAGACTGCTAATGCTGAAAATAAAGTGCGAAAATCAAATAAGAGTAGAAATAAACTAAAATACAAAAACACTATAAAATACAAAAATAAGCTAAACAAACCATCGAAATGCATAAGTACAATCATGGAAGAATGTGCATCAAAATGCACTGATCAAATTCCCCCACACTTGAACTTTTGCACTCTGAGCTAAATAAAATCAAAAGAAACACAACAGCATCATCAACTACTCATTCTAGGCTACAAACTCTTCTTCGGTTAAGATTACATCAATAGGTACTAATATTGCATACTAAGGATATCGTAGGAACACTAATATTGTCTCTTGAATATACAAACCAATTCGAATTATATTATTATGCCAAAGCCTAACTTACTCATCCTCCTTTTTTCTCTTTCATTCAGACGCAATCACATTAAACCCGTTATCTCCACACGCTCATAGCAAGGCGACCGGTTAGTGACTCTGGTCTTTTTTTTGCACGGGGTTCTGGTACTTACATGGCATAACCCTTTACTTACTCAGTTGTAGTTGCGGGGGATCGGACCGTAATCCGCCTTACCAAGTTCAGCACCAGAAACCACTGAACCAACTAACAACGAGTCTTACTATCAACTTTTTTTGTAGGTTCTACGACCGTTGGATTAAGTGACTGGGTGAGGGTCACCAAACTTAGAAGGCGCATTCCTTTTTCTTTCTTTTTTGTTTTCAAATAAAACTTGGATCACTCACTTATTTTCATCGACTTCCCTGCATAGAGTGCGTGTGAGATGGTGCTGACTACTGAAATAAACTACTCAAGAGCTATTAAAAGATGAGAATTCAAGACTACGTCATAATAAAAAATTCAAATTAACTTCCATATGCATGAGACTTATAGTGTTAAGACGATACCAATCTTGTGAATGTTTCCCAAGTCTCCACAACTAACCTCAGATTAATCTATAACCCAAAACTTTCAAAAAGATACATTTAATAATAACTAAAAAAAAACAATGAACAAAAGCAAAGAAAACAAATAAAATAAATGATTCCCTCCCCCACACTTTAAACATGCATTGTCCTTAATGAAAAGACATAACTATTAAATAAGAGTGAGAGAAAGGAAAGAACACACCCGAATAGTCAAGGAGGATAAGTGATCACATAAGCAGCCTTTTCCAAAGAGATGTCTTATATATTCTCTTCTTCCAAAGTGGGGCTCCCATGTAGTAGCTTTGGGTAATGTCCATTGAACTTGAAATTTTTATTAGTGTCTTCTCCTTTTATTCCAAGATCAAAGGATAATCTTTGATAAGTAAAAGTGTCGAATGGGCACGTGATCTTCTTTTTCCATAACACCAAAGATCAAAAGATTAAGGGGCTGCCTCACTACTTTTGTTTCATCTTTCACTTCAATTGAGACCCTGTGCAAAATCATGGATGTGCTAATATCAGGAATGTCGGCCAAAGTCCACCCAATCGTCTTCTTATGCTTCTTTAAAACCTGCAAAATCTTATTTTCTTGATCAAAGTTAAGGTTAGAAGAAATTATAACTTGTATCTTTTCATTCATCTCTAAATAAGCATATTTTAGATTGTCGGGAAGTGGTTTTAGCTCTCGGAAAGCTGGTTGTTTAATGGATGGTTTGTTTTGGGCGGCCGGAGTATCGAGAGCTTCTTCCACATGAACAACTTTATTTGCAACCTCATATGCAGTAAGAATATCAACTTGCAAGGCAGCCTCAATTCCAGCACAAACAGAGCAAATTTTAATATCAGTACAAATATCACAAGAGTAAACATCATCAAAATCAGATAATGATGGAAAATCAGCTGCAAATAAATTAGTACAAGTATCATCAACAGTCTCAGAAAGTAACTCTATTGGAAAAACAGAATTCTCTTCCAAGGATTATTGGTTAGATCCTTGAGCTTGTTGCATGATTTTCATCAAAGAAGCAAGTTGTTCAATCTGTGTTTGCAAAGTCTGGAGAGTATAATCTATTTGTTGTTCATACTGGAGATTATTTGCAGCCATTTGTTTGATAATGTCTTCTAGCGAAGGTTCAGAAGGTTCTAAGCACATAACCTGAAATTCCTTCAGATGCTTATACGGATCCTCACCTGTAAGACTATTAAGCTTTGACAACAAGTGTATTAAATCAAATTTCGATTCAAAAGGTGTATCAGTTGTAGGATAGTCAATACATAAACCATTATAGCTCACGTCAAGGCCAGCCAACTGCCTCAAAGTTCTTTGTTCAGCCATGTTATCAATAAACACAAAAATACCAACTATGTCCCAAACAGGCAGAAACAAATAGAAAGAAAGAAAACGATTAAAATAAATTCAAAAAAAAAACACCAGATTTAATCTAATTAGGCAAAATAAAAATTTTGAGAATTTTTTCGATTTTTTTCGACTCAATGAAAACAGTAAAAAATTATTTTAAAATAGAAAAAGGAGGAATGAGTAAGTTAGGCTTTGGCATAATAATATAATTCGAATTAGTCTGTATATTCAAGAGACAATATTAGTGTTCCTACGATATCCTTAGTGTGCAAGATTAGTACCTATTGATGTAATCTTAACCGAAGAAGAGTTTGTAGCCTAGAATGAATAGCTGATGATGCTGTTGTGTTTCTTTTGATTTTATTTTGCTCGGAGTGCAAAAGTTCAAGTGTGGGGGAATTTGATCAGTGCATTTTGATGCACATTCTTCCATGATTGTACTTATGCATTTTCATGGTTTGTTTAGCTTATTTTTGTATTTTATAGTGTTTTTCTATTTTAGTTTATTTCTACACTAGAAGCGAGCATAAGTCATATGTTTCGATCATATAACAATTGTTATGTTGTATGATCGAAAGCATCAAAACGTACCTTGCACAATGAACAAACGCGTCAAAAATAACAAGACAAAACAGTATGAAAACCACATGAGAATTAATCCGACAATTAAAAAATGAAATGCAACAAGTAAGCATGTATTAAATCATAATTATGACATTAAAATTCTGCACTAAGAAGTGTAAAAAAGCACTAAAAACTGCATTTAGAATAAAAACTGCATTTAGAAAATTATGCATTACGATGTAAAATATGAACAAAAAACTAAAAGAAAAAGTATTTTTTTTATTAGTTTTTTATGTGAGGAAAATTCTATCAAAAACTAAATGATTAATTCTTAAAATCAATTAAGAAGATCTAACAAAGTTCATTGATTTTGTAATTTTTTATCATAAAAAGATATAGAAAAATTTAAGAGAAAGTCCTAAATGTAACAAGGAAAAAGAAGAATCAGGGGGTGTGCTGCCTAGATCCCGTGTATGTTCAGAAATTGGCACCAAGGCCCCGTAGAGTTTTTGTTGCATTGCTTCAGGTTGCCAAAAAGTGTGTACATGGGCTTAGGCAAAAGGTAGTTTGGTGAATTCGGTTCCAAGCATAACACATTGGTCCAACAAATTTACAATTATCAGCCCATGATTAAGCTTTTATTCAATTTATTAAAAAGAAAAAGAAAATAAAAAAATAATTAACAATAGAGAAATGATGTCGTTTATGTGAAAGGCTAGGGTTCAAGCTGAGAGTGACGATTGAGCTCCCATGATATCTTCTTCTTCTCTCTCGCAGTTCTCAACCTTCATCTTCTTCTTCCGTTGCAGCCAATCGAATACGCCTCGATAGTCACACCGTTCACAACCACCTTTTCTCCGTCTTCTCCTATATCCATTTTCGAATATCTTAGCAATTCTCAGAAGTCACATAAATTCTATTTAATCTCCGAAAACCCTAAGAGTTCAAGATGAATTTAAACGGCGCATGCTCAGAGAATAACACAATAATCACATGGCTATTAATTCACATCGTAGACTCCGTCAGGTGCTGTCAAGAAATATGCAAAGAAATGGGGAATTGTGACAGGGACTTAAGGCTTACCGACATGACGGTGGTTTATCCCATAAGTTTTTGTAGAAGCTTGCGTAAATGAAGAAGAAAACCAGAGGTAATATTATGCTTCATATTGCTCGTATCTTCTTCTTCTCAATCCTTTTCTTTGAATTTCTTTGGTGAATATCTGTTAGAATAGGATGACAGAGATGATGAGTCGTTGATGATTCATAGGCGATAGGATAGGAATTGCTTGTGATGTTGAGCTTGAGAGAGAGACTAAGAATAGCTTTCGATTAGAGAGATGAAGCTTTAGCCCTTACTCCATTAAGGCTTCAAGGTAAAGCTTTTATGGAGTATGAAGAAGAAAGAGGGATTTGAGTGTGGGTGATGAGAAGGATGAAGATGAAGGCGAGAGTGATAATTGTGAAACTTGAAAAATAAAGAGTGATGCGTGAGATTCAATCCGAGGGAGAAATTCTGTTATAGACAGTTGAGTTTGTTAGAGTCGAGTGATCCTGGGCCATCAGATTTGAATTTCTGTTACATGACTGAATGGTGAGGATGCACTTGAAGGTTAGTTAGAAGTTTGTTATTTTGTTATTACTGTTATGTTTAGTTTGAAAATAGGGAAGTTAGAAGTTAGTTGGAGGTTGAAATTCTGTTGGTAAGTTGGTTAGAGCTGAGCTGGAATTCAGTTAGAAGAGTTAGCTTGCTTTGATTTTCTGTTATATCTGTTAGAGCTGTTAGTAATAGTTGGGAAATTTAAGTTAGGTATAGGTTTGTGAAAATAATTAGTGGATAGAAAACTGTTAGGTCTGCTATAAATTTATGTGTTGGTTTATGTGAATGCAGGGATGGTTATAGCAAGTATGGTGTGTTTAGATCTTGGACTGTTTATATATAAAGTGTAGTAATGCTCAGTTCCTTTTGATTGTTTTGTGTATGGTACAACAAGTTTTTTGGACATCAACTTTATCAATGACGAACTTTCTTGAATTGTTATTGAATCGTGTATATGCTTTTTCAGAAATTTGAATTGGATGTGGTTTTATGGTGCAAGGTTGGACTTAACAATATGAACTGGTTGTTGTCAATGCAGGCCCTTTGGTTCATCTGGTTTAATGGTAGTATGAACTACTTTGAAGTATTTTTCCTATTTTGATAGTGAAGTTGATCTGGTTTTGTGTATAGATGCATGATTGACATGGTTTTGAAGGCGTATTTGTAGCGCTATAACACGTTTTATGACACTTGGTTTCCAGCCTTTTTGGAGCTGTCTTGGTCTAATTTTGAAGGCATAACATCATGGATTTGGCCTGACTTTGAGGCTAGTCTCCGAGTGTAACAGGTCATGACAATGGGTTATTCCAGAGAGGCGTGAAGATTGGTCATTCATAAGGCTTAGGAACTTAGCACTTCAAGAATTTTGGGAGCATGCTTTGTAATTCTTCTCTTTTTTGTAAAACTTCCAAAATGTAACAGCACGCTAGTTTGCGACTTGCTTACTTGTAGCTTTGGATGAACCATGAATGACCTTGAAATGTTTCATGAATCTTGTTTGAATTTTGACTAGCCTATTATGCTTTATAAATCTTGATGAAAGTGGAAGACTTTGAATAGAAACTTGATGAAATCCTTGATTCCATGTTCGTTTCGACATGTTTGCCGCGTCATCTTTGAATGCTTTCTTGAAGGATGTTGAACCTTTGGATACCATAAAGAAATCCATGTGAATCATGCCATTTGACTAGATTTTGCAATATTAAATCATATGATTCCACAAGAACTTGAATTAAAAATCCTTAAAACCCTTATCCATCGCTTGAATACCCTGTGCATAATGGCCTACTCCCTAAGTCAACACACATCTTGGAACCATACAGAAAACTCCCATTGATTGATTGATGCATAGTTGAATCCATACCCTCTCACGCACCAAGGTGTGTGTATCTCAAGGATGTAAGTATGCATAAGATCCAACAAGAAGACTTGTAATCCAAGTAACCAAGTGAATGGAACTTGAATCATAAAGAATACCTTGCAACTTGCTTCCACACTTTCCCATTTTGCTCAAACAACTTTGACAAAATATGATCCGATCTTGAACTTGAGTGAATACCTCAGATTGAACATCAATTCTCAAACGAAACCTTATCTCCAAATCTCAAGCAACAAATAACTTTCATTACAAGCAACACAATTTGTTTTGATCAAAAGACTCCATAAGCTCATCTCTGGATGCCCTGGCTTGCCCCTTGTATTTCGTTCTAACACAACAATAATGCCTTGAAGAGTATTTGAGAATAAAAATGATACTTGGAGCAAAGAAGAACATCCCAATTGAATTAATAAACGCAAACACCATGGGTAAGAACCTTAATCCTCTTGGGATACATTTGAGATGTTGAGAAGAAACCAAGTCCTACCTCACAAGGTCTTTATTTGGGGGTATTGATGAAAAGCCTAACATTAACAAGTTGCAACCCTTTGATTAAGAAACTTGATGATCTTTATAGCTCGATGAGAATAAAGCTCTCAGTGACCATGAGTACAAAAACCCTATCTCCACAAACCATGGTTAGTGAAAGAACCAGCCGATTCAAGCTCGAGTGAAGTGAAAACCTTATAGCAATATGGAAGCCCTACACCTTCAAAATCCTTGATCCCATACCAAATTATTGATCAATGATGCATGATATACTAAATATCCTAATGAGAGGTATGTACATGATAATTACAAGATGAATAAGCCAGATAATCCTTATAGAGGATAGGAAAAATTTGGGGTATGACATTTTCCCTGTCCCCAACACGCATGAATGCGTCGTCTAAAGACTCGACATAATGTGAAGTTATGCTTCGAGGTTCGAGGGCGACATAGTACAGTTAGGGATCAGTAACTGTGTTGATCATCTTAATATCATCGACATTGTTACCTATTTCACATGAAAAGCAGAGGAAATCGTGAATTCAATGGTCAAATCAAATCCACCTTCCACCATAAATCAAGTGAAAGGGCGTATCATGAGACGAGGACAAAGTCCCCGATGCAAAACCCTAGATAAACAATAACGGGAAGTCAAGACGAGCCCCTCAACTAAGGGCACGACCAAATCAACTATTTAGACAGGGACGGGCCTCCCCATATGTTGAAGTTCATCATGAACTCACGAATCTCACAGGGAAAAACCCTCCAGAACATGAGGGTCATCACAAATTCATGAATCTCTCGAGGAGGAATCTCCCCAGAACGTGATATTCATCCTAGATGCATGAATGTACCAGGGAAAGACCTCTTCAGAGCATGAAGTTCATCATGAACTCATGAATCTTGTGGGAAGGAATCTCCCTAGAACGTGAGATTCATCCTAATGCAGGAATGTCAAGGGGAAGAACCTCCCCAGAATGTGAAATTCATAGTAAACTCATGAATCTCACGGGAAAGAACCTCACTAGAACATGAAGTTCATGTTAAAATGCATGTTTAGTCGCTGGGAGAAAAAGGAAACACTTATTGGATTAAAAGTTGGACGGAGCTTGCATCGGCGAATACATCGGCGAATACGGTGGCAACTGTAGAGGATAAGAGAAAACATGAGAAGACAGGCGAGAGGGGAGAGAAAATGTGAAACTTTGCAAATGAAACCTCAAGCTATCTATTTATAAACCTTGCACGGGAGGCGAAACGTCACTTCAGGTTGCGTGTCAGTGCCCTTACGTGCAGCCGCCCATATTCCCAGGCCATAATGACTCCCTACACCTAGGCATAATTTCACTAAATGTTGCAACACGTGGCCCAAGAAGCAAGCGCCGACCGAACATTTCGACTCCCCGATAATCTAGCGAGGAAAACTTTCTCCTTCAAGGGCATACCTCTATAATACAACTACGAGAATCGTGGGAACACTCTCTGCGGGCACGCCTTAACTCCCGACCATGATACTTATACAACATCCTCCTTATGCACATAAAATTCCTTGAACGATATTGACCAACGAGGAATATTATTAATTTGGATGGCCACATCCCTCTTTTCTTGCATATGCTAGACTGAAAGCTAATGCTCGTGTCCCTATCAACCATGCTCGAGATAAATGACAAAGTCTTGAAGGTCACTATGGAGCCACTACCTCCTCGATGCTCGAGCTGACCTAAAAGTCATAAATCATCTACTTAGAAGCTACGACTTAGGGGGCTCCTATTCTGGACCGGGCATGCGCTTGGTCTGTCGTCAGGCAAGGCCCATCAACGAGGAAGGCCCAATAACCTATTGTAGACTGGACCTACACTTGGTCATCCGTTAGGAAGGGGCAGTCTAGTGCTGCTACGAGGAAGGCCCAACTAAGTGGCCTAAATAGCCACGACCATTGGGGAACGTGTCCTCTCTGTTCTTGTCGAGGATGTCTTCCTCATATGCCCGTCGAGGACATATGGCCAACGACTCTCTGAATATCAAAGAGTCCCCCTGTCCCCGTAAAGAACGAGTCTTCTACTTCCAAAGATCATGGGGCAGTTCACCAGGATAAAGACCATGTACTGGTCTCCTCTACCCATGTAGGATCCTGGAAGTCTCTATTTTGGGCTGAGAATCCATCCCAAAATGGAGACCTTGGCCTAGCGCTGAAGGCTATACATACCCTCTTTCACTAGAGGGTCAGATATTCAATTCTACTCACTTACACTCTGTGCTTGCCCTCTTTACTATGAACCTTACTTTGGCATCGGAGTACCTTGCAGGTACACCCTCAATTCACTTCAACAACTACAAAAGTCCAAGTGTTAAGGCTAATGAAGATCCTTCTGATCCTGGTAAGATCATATATATATATATATATATATATATATATATATATATATATATATATATATATATATATATATATATATATATATATATATATATATATATAAGTGTGTACATGAGAAAACATAAAAAAATAGGTTGTAAAATTACAAATTTGACATTTGGATCAATGCGAGCCAATACATACGACGAGGGAGTTGACTCCAAAGGGAGAGGGAATCGACCCATACTACCTGGAATTTGACTCCTTTTAGACAAAGAGGAAAGTTTGAAAAACAGCTTCAGTAGGAGTT